CTCAACCTCTGCCTGTGCAGAACAAAAGATTTTTTTGGTAACCTGCAAACTGCAACGCGGATAAATTTTATTTTGCCCCTGCGCGATGCCGCGCAGGGGTGAAAAATTATGCAGGTGATCAGCTCTGAGCGCTACTGCCTATTTTTTCATTTCTCTAGCATGCTAACAAAAAATTTTCAAAATGTACCACCTCCTTTTTTACTTGAGGCATTATGCCTCAAACGTACCGTCTGCGGACACCGCTGCGGGAATCGAAGCCAGTGACATCGGTATTCAGGACCACTCTTCCTCTAAATTACGAAGTACGGTCTAATTATACTTGCCTTTTCAAATGAATTCGTATGGAAAAAACACTTTTTTCTCACAGATAAAATATACGCGCAACTGCAGTACGAGAAAAGTTACAGGTATACGTCGCTTTTAATTTTTTTTTTCTTAACTTAAAACAATCGAACTGAAACTTTTTATTAGCCATATAGTCTGATTATCAATTGCAGCGACTTTCTATACCTTTTTTACTAATTTATTTTCCCATACAAATGAATATTTAGTTTATAAAGTATAATTCAGCGCTAGATAGCTCTTGAAAACCCCTGCTGACTGTGTATATATATAGCTGGATGCAGCTTAGAAGGACGAATCGATTGATATATAGTAAGTCTACGTTGACCAAGTTTCGTGGAGACAGTGAGTTTAATGTCAGTGCACATTTCATTGCAATTTTTGAGTTTCTCGGGAACAGTAAGAGATTTTGCGCTTGCCTTTTTATGGCATGTGTATACACATTTTCATTCAGAGAGTGTACTTTCTCAATGAAAATCGAATTCTCCTCCAAGGAATTGTTACGTCCTACGTTAACAGATACAGCTAGAGAACATTTCTTTTTATCAAATTGTAATGCTTAGACTCGTCGATTTTCTTAGCATAAGCATTTACCGAGATAAATCAACTTTTATGTCAATGTAGAGAAAAAACGAAATGTGTCTGTCATCACAGGTTTTTTAGTATTTCGTCGACAAAATTTCGTTTAATTTCAATTGCAAGCACATGTTTGAACAGTCGAAGAATTCTGCTACAAATTCAGTTAAAACTTGTTCCGATTCTATTTAATTTGATTGGAAAAAACGAGTTTTTTTGACGAACTAGTTGATAAAACATCAGATTTTAAAACATTGGATTTTGGGCTAATGCCAACAGATGGAGATGATTTAAACATAATTGGAAATATTGAAAATTTTTTCCATCGGGTGTCTGGAGTATATCAGGAACATCGACAACTCTTGAAAGACCTAAAGGATACTGATAGTGTTAGTAATAAAGATATACGCATATTGAATCCTAAAGAATTGAACTTGGCCACACAACTCCGTTCAATCACCGATTCCTTCCGTTGGAATAGCAAACGGTTGAGAGAAAAAGCTAGGAATGAGATAGAACATAATCAGAGAATACTCAGATCTTTGAAAATGGATAAGTCAATTGTAATCACAAGACCAGATAAAGGTAGAGGAATAGTGGTTATGGATAGAACTGATTATTATGGGAAAATGTTACAAATCTTGAATGATCACACTAAGTTTCAACCTTTATGCACTGATCCTACTATAGCTCGTGAAACTAGCCTCACTAATCTCTTACGTAGACTATACAGTCAGGGGCACATAAGCGAATCCTTATATAACAACACTAGACCAGTTGGGTCTAATCCTGGCTTTATGTATGGGTTGCCGAAAGTACATAAAAAGGATACACCATTAAGACCTGTTTTATCTGCTATAAACACATTTAACTATGGATTAGGGAAAGAGTTAACCAACATCTTATCAGAATTGCCTCAAAATTCTCATACTGTCAAAGACACTTTTGAGTTTGTTAGAACATTTAAAACCAATGAACTACTATCTACGGGTAATATTATGGTTTCTTTTGATGTAAGTAGTCTTTACACAAATGTTCCATTGGATGAAACTATTGACTTAGCAATTAAAAAGTTATACTCATCCAATAAACAGTCAACCATGAAACAAATAGATTTTAAAAACTATTGGTCTTTGCTACAAAAAACACTCATTTTTATTTTGGAGGGAAGCTGTACGATCAGATAGACGACGTTTCTATGGGTGCTCCCATTGCGCCGTTAATGGCTGAGCTATTTATGGCAGACTTTGAGGAAAAGAATCTTGCGTTAATTAGACAAAATGGAGTGAGATTTTGATGTCGTTATGTGGATAACACTTTTGTTCTTTTGGAGAAACATGTCGATCCGTATATAATAGCTGCTTTATTGTCTAGCTTCCATCTATCATTGACTTTTACGTTTGAGTCTGAGGATGAGAATAATAGTATACCATTTCTAGATATACAAATAACTCGTTCAAGCCCAGGCTTTAGCACAAAAGTTTATAGAAAATCTACATTTACTGGTCTCCTCACTCGATGGGACTCGTATGTGCCTGATATATATAAACGTAATGCTATAGGGACATTGGTATACAGAGCCATTCGCATTTGTTCGTCATACAAGTTGCTCGATGAGGAATTTGAGAAAATTAGGGAAATTGCTGGTCACAACGGTTATCCCAATTGGTATGTAGATAAAATAGTTTGGGAAAAATTGAATCAGTATTACACACCAAAAGTACGTGAGCCTACTGTATTAAGAGGACGTGTGGTCTCGAAGGTACCATTTTATGGACAAGCAAGTTTAGTTTACGGGAGACGTGTATCAGCAGCAGTTCGAAATAATTTTCCCTTGAAAGAAGTAAAGATCGTGTATGTGCCTGAGAAGTTAGGTAAGTGCTTTAATACAAAAGATAGAGTACCTACTCCACTTGAATCGGGAATTGTTTATAAAGTCACTTGCCCCGTATGTAATGAATTTTACATTGGAAAAACGTACCGACAATTTTGTAAAAGAACAGAAGAACATTTAAGTGATCAAGCAAAACTTATCGGAATCTTTGAACCCACACTCATAACCCCGTCTCTTAAGGCAGTAAAACATAATATCCTTACACTAAGTGGAAAAGTGTCTAAAATGAAAAAGTCTTCTGGCAACACTAGTTGCTTTACACAACGAATAACCGAGTCACGTTGTGTTACCCGATCACAAACAGGCTGTTCACCCAGATTTCGGACAACCTCAACCCTCGAACTAAGTTTAATTGAGGAAACTGTTGAGCAACTCTGCTGTAAAAGTAATAATAAAAGAAAATGTAACTCAGTTTATGTTGCAAAATCAGCTATCGGCAAGCACTACTCTAATACTGGACATGTGATTACAGGTAATAACTTTGAAATTGTTTTCAGCTATTATAGTATGAGAAAAACAAAGGTATAAGTTGCTGGTTAAGGAGTCGTTAGTCATTCGG